CTAAATTGAGAAAATGCCTCCATATGATCTGCCTGTAGGCAAGTCTATAGTACATATTAGTGATTGATGTGGCAGGGACCAGCTCATTGTGGGTGATGCCAACCTGAGGCTGGTGGCCCTGGGTTCTATAAGAAAGCACATTGAAGAGCAAGCTATGGAGAGCAAGCTACGGAGAGCAAGCTACGGGGAGCAAGCTACAGGGAGCAAGCTACGGGGAGCAAGCCAGCAAGCAGCACTCTTCCATGGCCTCTGTATCAAGTCCTGCCTCAGGTTTCTGCCTTGAGTTTCTTCCTTGACCTCTTCGGATAACTGACTCAGCTGAAATAAACCCTTTCCTCTCGAAGTTGCCTTTGGTTGTGGTGTTTTTTATCACAGCGACAGAAACCCTAACTAAGACAGGGATATTTTCATTCAAATCATAATGTTCCACTTCTTGGTCCCTATAGGCTTGTGGACAAATCATAATGTAAAATACATTTAGTCAAACTTTTAAAATCCCATAGTCTTTCACAGTGTCAACACAATTTAAAAGTCCAAAGTCTCTTCTAAGACTTAAGGAAATCTAACTGTAACATCCTGTAAAACTAAAACACAAATTACATACTTCTAACATATAATGGTACAGTGAATACATTACCATCCCAAAAGAGAGGAGTAGGGACAATGTGAGGGATAAAATTATTTTTTAAGTTTAAATATCTGGGCTTAAGAGATCTATAAAACAAAAATGTCTTTAACCTGTATGCCCCAGTTGCCTAAGGACAGATAAACTTCCTGGCATGCTGGGGCTGTTATTCACATAAGATAATAAGCCGTGTGTTTTCACGTCTGTAAACAAACTTGGGTGCTCCAACTGTACAGGATGTGCTTGATCACATGTAGGTGGGAGATACGTAGGCAGGAAGTACATCAGGATGCATGATTGCCCCTGACTGGATGAAGGTGGGAAATACATAGCCTGTGCCTTTATGAGCCCCTAATGCAATTCCTGGTCACACTCTGGGAATCCCAGTTTACGGACCTGGTCAGTGTCCTTTGTCTTGGCCAGGACTTAATAAAACTTGCTTTGAAACTGATTAGAAAATTGTGATAGTGGTCTTATTCTCACTCAGTGGGATTAACAACATAATAAATACTGGCCCCAAGGACGTGCAAACTCAACAGGGCAAATACTAAATTCTGTAGTGCTATTTCTGGCATCAAAGGCTCCACCCCTCCGATTTGCTGTCTACAAAACAGCTCTTTCCTGGGCTGGCTCCACTCCATGTATGCAGTTCTCCTTGGCAGGTTTCCCACAGTCTGCATGGCTCTCAGCACTACTGTCTTCCAGGCTTCTGCAATGACGGCCTACTCTACTCATACCATGCAATAACTTTTGTAGTTCAACTATTCCAAAGTCTTCTACATTCTTCCAAAAGACATGGTTAGGTTCTTTATAGCAACACCCCGTTGTCAGTACCAACTTTTGTATCAGGAACCTTTCTGTTGTTGTGATAAACACCATTACCATGGCAACTTACATAGGGAGTTTATTTTGACTTACACTTCCAATGGGTTAAGTCTCCATCAGCTTGAAAAGGCACAGAAGCAAGAGGTGGGAATGGCTGGAGGAAAAGGTAGAACTCACATCTTTAATTGTAAGCATTGTGAACTAGATGGAAGTGGTGTGAAGCTAGCTCTCCAGCAAGGCTGCAACATCTAAATGTCCCCAAACATGGGACCAAGTGTTTGAATGCCCAAGATTATGAGCAACATTTTTCATTTAACCACACTTTGGGTGGCCTTTAAATTTACTGTTTCTACATCAAAAGAAGTAAAAATACTAGTTAGGATAAACAGATTAGAAATACAAAATACTTTATTTATCCTTCTGTTTTATTTTTCCAGGACCAAAGCAACTTGTATCAAAGAAAGCACTCAACTGCAGGCTTGCTTACAGTTTCAAAGGCTTAGTCCGTGATCCTCATGGGAGCAGGCAGGCAGGTAGGCAGGCATGGGCTATTACAGCCTGATCTGCAGGCACACAGGCATAGAGAGATTGGGGCTGGCATAGTCTTATAAACCTCAAAGCTCATCCCCAGTCTACACTGTAGGGGGCACCTGTTGCCAAACCCCTAGGAGGAGGGTGCCCCCTATAATACACCTCCTCCGACAAGGCCACACCTCCTAATCCTTTCCAAACAGTTCCACTAACTGGGACCAAGCATTCGAATATATAAGCATATGGAGCCATTCTCTTTCAAATTACCACACCTTCCCTATATACTGTGTGTCAGGCAAGCACATGCTACCATGTCCTTTGCACACCCTTTTCCTTAATCTTTTTTTTTTTTTTTTTTTTTTTTTTTTTTTTTTTGAGACAGGTTTTCTCTGTGTAGCTTTGGAGCCTATCCTAGTACTCACTCTGGAGACCAGGCTGTCCTGGAATTCACAAAGATCAGCCTGCCTCTGCCTCCCTAGTGCTAGAATTAATGGTGTAAGGGTACCAGTGTGGGCTGCCACAGTTTTTGAAATAGAATCTGTGTTTAGTTTTGACAGGCTTTCCGTGTGTGATTCTCCTGATGCAGCCTACTAAGTGCTGGGATTGTAGATTCACAGTTTTTTTTTTTTAATTGTCATCATATGATGGCATCACTATAATTCTTTAGTTCCAATAAGCCATGGCATCAAAACTGCTGGGAGCCTCTCCTCTAGCCATTAATCTCCTGGCACCAGAGAGGGCCTCAAATTTCATAAAACATTTCAAACTGAAGCCCAAATATAGAGTTTATGCTTCAAAATTCTCTTCACATTACTATTCAATTACATAAAAAGTGTAATGTACCGTTGAGCTGGTGATGACTCCATGGGTAAAAGTGCTGTGTAAGCATGCTTGAGTTCCATCCCTGCAACCCATGTACAGGTGGAGAGAGGGAGAGCCCACTCCACAGGTTGTCATCTGATTTCCACAAAGTCTTCATGGCATGTGCACCTGCAACCACCCACACAATAATTTTTCTTATTTAAAGAGTTAAACATTAAGTACTGTAAATATGAAAGATTTAGATCATTATGGTCTCCAAGCAGCTAAGTGATGTACACAGGGATTGTCGACCTGCTAACTGCACGTCTAAGTGACTGGCATCAGGACAGGACCGTGTGTACGTACAGTCCTACTTTTTCTTTTTTAAGCCCGGCATTTGTAATTGATTACATGAACCATCTGTGGCTGCTTGTGAATCATGTTACAGTTACCCCACTGACATTTACCCAACATTTTTCATGTGGCAAAATGTTTAGTGTCGGAAAGCTGACACATAATAGCTTTGATGATTCAATAAATCAACTTTAGACACCAGGCTATAGGCGCATCCCCATTGATGTGGAGTCTCTCTCGGCAAAATTATGGCTGATGATTTCATTATAATAACGCTTCATCCTGAGCTTCCTGTGTGTAGACAAAATTATTTGTTATCACCAAGGTAACTTGACCCCCACGGTTGTTACGAGACAGGATGGGAGGGTGAGGGGGGCGGTCAAAAGAGGTGAGGACCGGAGCGGAGGAAGATGAAAAACAACCTCGGGTGGGGGTAAGAGACGGTCTCTCAGGGAAGTGCTTCAGCAAGTGCGGGCC